TTTTTCATTTGGTTGGTTTTCCCTTCTCTTTTCCATTTGTATCTCGGTTCTTATCTGGCACTGAGCACAACAGAGAGTCTGCAGGAGGGGCCAGGCTGCAGTGGGTACATATCAGCACAGCCTTGCTGATTCAGAGCGACCAAGCATCTGATAGGAATCCTCCCAAATCAGCAACGTGTGCTCGGTCACTACTGGCACTGCAGAAGTGAAAACCACACAGAACAACCCTGCAGATCTGATTTCTCATCCCTCTCCACACAGCTTGAGCCCTGGAGCCACAGGCAGCCTTGCCCAGCACTCCCAGCCACCCCGAGGGTGAGGTTAGGGAAAGGCAGAGGCTGTGCCATCTCCCTCTGTCCTGGCAGGAGCACAGAACCCTGCTTCAAAGGCAGCAAGAGCTTTGGGATCCTTCAGGTCACTCTGGAAGTGGCATTTGCTTCCAGCTCAGCTGGTCCCCGCTGCCTCAGTGATGGAGCACTGCAAGGTTTGTAGGGCACTTTCCCCTTAACAACCCAGACCCTCCTGCTCAGCTTCTCACACCTGTTTGGAATCTGCTCTGCCTTCACCCAAGCTGAGTTATAAAGGCATCAACACCACCAAAAAAAACCAAACCAAACAAACAGGCTCCTGTAGCACTCTTTAATGATGTTCCTGGTCTAACAGAGAAGATTAACTTTCTCCAGAGAAGGCTACAGAAAACATTGCTATTCCGTGTCCATCTGTCTTGCTCTCCCTCTTGTCCACTAGCTGTGATCAGCTTGCAAGGGAAAACGTCTGAAAGCTCAGGTATGCTCCTGACTTGTGTCCTGTCAATCAGGGCTTTGCACAGCAGATCCTTCTGGCCCTTCTTCTTCTCTTGCAACAGCAGCAGAGGGTTGGTGGAGCTTTAAATCCAGCGGGCAGTAAATCCACATGGCACTCACAGCATTGTGTGAAGATTCATGGCTGTGTTCTCTGAAGGTCAGCTTCATCTGTTGCAGGCAATTAGGGATAATCTATGGCTCCTGCTGCTGCTCCAGCCCTGGCCGTATGCTCCTTGTCAGCACCAGACCATTGGTCAAATAAAAGTCACAACTGGTCAATGTCCTGGGGAAATGCTGTGCCAAGAGCAGGAGGCAGAGAGCTCCTCAGGTCACCATGGGCTCCCAGGGATCCTGCTTCTCTGAAAAGCTGAGGGCTGGCAGAGAGGGGCAGGCACCAGAACCTCACAGCTTCTGTCCCAGCACTGTCCCACAGACCTGGCAGGGCTTCCTCCAGCACCCACAGCCCTTTGCTCTCTCCATCACTTCTCCTTCATCCTTGAGTGCTGCATCTCTCTCACCTTCCCTGCGCTGCCTGGAGCCCTGGTGCCTCAGGGGAAGGACTCCTCCTTCCTGCCCTGGCCTCTCTCTGCATCTGCTTTCCTGAGTATTTCTCTGTTTGCAGGCAGAGATGGATGTACACCACATGCTGATGCCAAATGATTTCTTGCCTTTTTTTCTTTTCTATGTTCTCTGTATTCTTTACACATATATTTTCAGCTCTGTAGCCTATTGTTGTACTTGTGGCTAGCTTTCCCAGTAGTTTCCCCCAACTTTTTCCTAAGCAGAAAGACAAAACACATTCCAGAGTCCCTATCCTAACTCGGTTCTTTCTGAGAACCAAGGATGGATAACAGCTCTTCAAGACACATTTTCATCAACAAAGTTGATGAAAAGAAAACACCACGAAAGTTTAGTCCCTTCTGAGGGGGGAGGGTTTAGAAGGGGCCTGAGCTGGGGTGGGGAGTGTGGAATTGCATCACCACTTGTGCTCTTAATTGGTGATTTTTGTCAATTATGCTGATTTGCTAAACCTTTAAAACTGTATTCACCCCGTGGGAGGGGGTGGGCATTTTGTGGGCATTTTCCATGTCTGCCCCTGGAGCCCTCCAATAAAGACCAGCATTTATATTCCCTCCTGCACTAATATTATCTCCAGAGTGTGTTGTTTTATTTCGAGGTTCTTTAAGGCATCAATGCAATTCCCTCCTTTGCACGCTGGACGTGGAGGAGCTCAGGGTTTGGGGACGGCAGGAGGCAAAGAAAGGCTGTTCTGAAGTGAAGGCACAGGGGCAGGGACAGCTCCCAGATGCCTGACAGACCCCAGTGCCACACTGAGCATGCTAAAACCTGGATTCAGGAAATAACTTTGAGATCTGAGCCTGAAACCCTTGACTTGAAATTATTTTCTCGTGGTTGCTCACTTGGTGGCATCTCTAACCATGGTCTCTGCAGTCTGCAGAAGGGGCCTTGGGATCCCACAGCATTTATACCACTGAAACCACTATCAGAGACAAGGCTACAGCCCAGACCTGCTGACCCACAGCTGGGACCAGAGTCTGGGAGTGCCCTCCCAGTGGCTTTGGCTTGTGGGATTACAAAAATCATCACCAAACAGCGTATCCTGCAAATGGAGCTCACATTAGATTCACAAGAGCTCTCTGAAGAAAGCAACCCCAGGTGATGCAGGCAGTTTTTCACCAGGGTGTGGAAGTGCAGAGGCAGTGGTAATGAGGTCCCTGGCAGCCCTGGCAGCAGGGGGAAGGATGAAGGGATGGGAGATATGGGCCATGCCCCAGGAGCTCTTGCAGCTGGCACGGTCCCTCCTCCCAGGCCCAGCAGGGAACAGGAGCTGGGGCATGTTCTCCCTCTAAATTGTCTCTATGGGAGGAGGAGGTGGATGAGTTTCCAGCCTCCCTGGCCCTGTCTCTCCCTGTTTGTCTGCTTTGTTTTTCAGCAGCCCTCAAGGCTGTGTTTTGGAGAGAGGGTTTCATCAGGTAAAGGAAAGGTACAAAGATGAGTTAATGAGAACGATTATTCAGTGACAGCTGCTGCCACTCACCTCCTAAAGAGTGTAAGGTACAGCCTTGCAGAAACAAGGCTTTCTCTGATTATTATGTTCAGGAGATTAATTTAGGAAACTCTGCTTAAGACCTGTGGTGATCTTATTTGAAATCTAGTCAATGAACAGGCAACATACCCTGTTTAAAGTTCAATTGCTGGGAGCAGACAGATCCTGGGCCTGGACTGGGGCACAGCAGAGACAGGCAGTCCTTGCTCTGCTGTCCCTGGGATGCTCCCCAGCATCCTGGGGATGGGATGTGCCCACCTGGAGCTCAGTGAGGCACAGCCTGGCTGCAGAAGCATTTTATTCCCTGACTGCTGCAGTCCACAAATCAAATCCTCTGTCTGAAGCCCAGGGCTGAGGAAGGACTGGACCACGAGCTCCTGCAGGGAACAGTGTTTGTCCTGCAGGGAGACTCCTCTCTACAGCCACAGTCAGATCTGCTAATGGTCATCCCTGTGTCCGTGCCTGACAACTGCCCATCAGAAGCCTCTCCACACAGGCATGAGGTGTCCAGGCTTAGCACATGATGCCTGCCATTTAATGTCCCCATCAAGCCACAGAGAAACCAAATGGACTGGAAAACTGGCCTGGGATCACAGCTCTCCTTCCAAACTGGCACCCACAGAAGGCAGCACTCCTCTCCGTTTTCAGCCTGGCATGGCCAGCAGCCCCTGCCCAGCCAGCCATGGCCAGGGCCAGCAGCGCTGCCAGGAGCTGCTGCCTCTCTGCCTGTGCTGCTGCTGGTGCAGGGGTGTCCCTGCTGCCCCACGGCCTGGCACAGCTGATGGGGGACACAGCCCCGGTGCCCCAGTGCAGGCACAAGGCTCAGCTCCCCTTGGTGCTGCCGTCACAGCCCTGCCACCAGCTCTGACAGATGGTGAGCCAGCCCAGCTCCATCTCCTGGGGCTGTTTGGCCACTACAGAGAGCTGCTCAGGCCAAGCCCAGTTTGGCTGGCAGGTGTCCCTACCCCAGATGCAAATATTTGGGCAGGAGTGGCTGTGAGCCCAGCAGAGGAGACTGTTTTCCATGAAGGCCAGGGAGGGAGGTCTGCCCCACAGCAGCTCCTGGGATTTCCTCACCTGGAGACACCATATCTGATGCTCAGGAGCCTTCACAGGCTCCTCCTCTGTTGCATTTTGCATCCACATCTCTGCCGGGGCTGGTCTCGCTCCCAGGGCAGTATCCCAAAGTATTGGCTATAGAAATCTGCATTTCCCCTCCTGGTGTCCCTTTGAAACAATTCTGTTTGCTTTGTGGCTGTTTCACCTTCAGTCACCCTGAGCTCCAGACCCTGCTGTGGTCTGTAGGGAGCAGCCAGTGCCAATCCACCCCTGCTGCTTTCATAAAGCTCTGGGTGTTTTCTGGTGTTTTCTACAGTGATGCCTTTCAATTCTACCCCTTCAGTACCCCCTTCACACCCTCTTTCAGCTCTGGCTGGTCTGTGGATGGAGAAGCACATGGAGGCTCTTGGAAGGGCTCCATGGTTTTACTGCTACCATTAATTCCCAAGGCCCAGGAACTGAAACCAGTCATCCCCTACACAAATCTGTAATGTTCTTTGCACACAGCCAGTGCCTGTGGCAGTGGCAGATCACTAATCCCACTGCTACTGCCTTCCTAGAGAAAAGAAAGGAGTGGGGTTACGATGCTCTCAAGGGGTGATGAAACCATTGTGGTATTTTCTATATATCCAAAAGAAACCTTTATCAGCCTGTGTTTCGGGCCAGAGGTCGGCAAAAGGCTGGGCTCTTAAAAATGAAATGAGAAGCCTTGAAGAATTTTTATTTGCTATCTCTGCTCACAGGCAATTAAAGGAGCAGGACATGAAGTCTGGTGTTATGTGGCAGCCCTTCCCTTCCCTTCCCTTCCCTTCCCTTCCCTTCCCTTCCCTCTTTTGTTTCCTCTTTTCTTTTCCCTTCTTTCTTCTTTTATTTTTTTATTTTTTCTTTTTTTATTTTCCTTTTCTTTTCTTTTCTTTTCTTTTCTTTTCTTTTCTTTTCTTTTCTTTTCTTTTCTTTTCTTTTCTTTTCTTTTCTTTTCTTTTCTTTTTTCTTTTTTCTTTTTTTTTCTCTTCCTCAGTTTCTTTTAATTGCACACCTCTTGTACCACAGAAATGTGTTTTGCATGAGAACTAAAGACAGAAGGAACACTCACTCCATAAAAAGTCTGATCAATACTGCTGGGCAGCCAGAGCCAAAAACATGTCAAAAGTGAGCTGGGAATTAAAAGAAAGTAACAGATGTCATTCAAAAGCCCAAGGCATGAGGAAGGGCTGAATCATGCCCTGGCAGGAGGGGAGCTGTGGCACCAGGGAATTCCTCAGCTTTGCACATCAGCTGAAAGTGTGGGGGGCAATGGAAACCCTACAAATAACAAGAGGGAGAATTGCCCAGGCAGCCCTGGGAGCCTGACCCTGCTGCAGGAGGAACAGGAGACACCAAGGGCATGAGAGTCAGTGGCACGTGGAAGTGAGGGGCAGCAGGGCTGTGCGGGGACCACGGGACGAGGGGAGCAGGGGACATCACGCAGGGCTGGAGCCGGAGAGTGGCCACTGCGTGGGGGACAGCAGAGCCCGCCAGAAAGGGGAAAACAGAAGGATTTATGAGCACAGCCATGATGAGAGCCAGTTATCCGTGACCATCCTAAATCTTGTCAGAGACAGGATGAAAGGGACCATCTCCAGTGGACAGGCTGGAAGATTTAACACCACCATTCCACAGTGTAATCACAAAATGAGCCCCCCACGCTCGTGGGAAGGGGACTGCCTCCTGCCTGTGCTCCCAGGGCTGAGCCACACCTCAGAGAGCAGGGAGGGAGGTCAAACAACACCAGGGGCACTCCAAAGAGACCCAGCATCTCTGCCACAGCCTGAGGAGGGTCAGGATGCTGCCAGCCTCTGCAGCCCAGGCAGCCAAAGGCTCGGGTCAGCACAGCCACACACCCGTTCTCCCACAGTTTTATTAATGACACCGCATTTCCAGCCCAGCTGCTGCACTGGGAATTGTGCTTGGAATTGGGACTGTTGCACTTCCCCTTGTCCCAGCCACAGGGAAGAGGACACAGCCCCACAGCAGCATCCCAGGCGCTGAGAAGGTGCTACAGAACCTCTGCCCACTCCTCTGTGCCTGGGTGCGAGGGCTCAGTGGACACACACTGAGCTCTGCCTGCTCTCCACACGTGCCCTGCTCTCCAGCCCAGCCCTCAAGCCCTTGTACAGCTCTCAGGCCAGCAGAAATGCCCAGTGGGTTGAGCTTTCACAGCGAGGGTTTGGGGAATGGGAACTCGGGCAGCAGCAGAGTGAGCCCAGGGGCCTCTCCCCAAACCTGGGGAGACGGGTCACTGCCACCTCCCACGGGCAAGGAGGGCTCCAGCCAGGGACACGGGGGCACAGGGGACAGGAAGAGCAGTCACAGCCACTGAAGCCCCCATGCCCACAGACAGAGGCCACAGGAGCTGCCTGCCTCCCCCTCTGCAACCAAGCAGCCTCATCATCTGTCCCCAAGAGAGAAAGCAATCAGGTAAGCAACGTCTACAAGCCCATATGGACGGGCTGGGATGCTGCCCAAGCTTCAGCTCAAAAAAAAGTGCACATTTTCTGGTATAAATATTTTGGTTTGCCTCCTCCTCGCCGGCCCACGGGCTCCAGCACAGGAAGCACAGCAGCAGCCCTGCTCAGAGTGTCTGGCAAGAGGCTGATCCCCACAGTTACCAAAGTGTGCTGCAACAAAAGCCCACACACACTGACCCCGCTGCCCACATGCCTCCCAGGCATTGCCACGAAGGAGAGAGGCTTCTGGCAGAGTGGAGCCAGGCTTTCAGCCCCTGGAAGGTGCTGCTTCACAAAGGACCTCAGCAACTGCCACATGTAGGACCAAGGAGATGCCTTGTGACACCCTCCAGTTCCCATGGAGCTCTTTGGTTCCTTTTGTTCCTGCCATCTCCCATGACAGAAAAGAGCTGATTCCTTTCCTGTTGGCAGCCTAAAATCATGGAATCACATGAATGGTTTGGGTTGGAAAGGACCTTCAAGATCATCTCATTTCTTCCCCCTGCCATGGGAAGGGACACCTTCCACTACCCCAGATTGCTCCAAGCTCCATCCAACCTGGCCTTGGACACTTCCAGGGCTGGGGCAGCCCCAGCTGCTCTGGGCACCCTGTGCCAGGGCCTGCCCACCCTCACAGGGAGCATTTCCTGATACCTAATCTCTAGAGATGCCTGCTCTGAAGTTCAAACAGTGGCTGTAATGCAATGAGGAGTCTGTCCACCCTGTCACAGCACTCCCAGCATGAGCCCTTTCCTCAGCAGTGCAGCATCTCCCCAGGACACATCCCCACTGCCTGTCCTTACCCCACACATCCACCAGCCCAGCGGGAGCCACCCCACTTTCCAGTCTCCTCCTCTTTTCTCCCCCAGCACCATGGGAGGAGCTCTCAGTCACCAGAGCTGCTCTCTGCCATGGCAAGAGCAGGATCTGAGCAGCAAAATGTAGGAGCAGATATTTATGGATGTATCTCCTTTAACCATCAGAGCACCTGTGGCCATGTCTCACCAGTGCTGGAAACAAGGATCGAGCTGCCACATTCCCATGGAACAACAGTGATTCAACCCAGGTAATGGCCCCAAAACTTTCTCCAAAGGCTGGGGAAATGGTGGAAATGTGAAAAGGTGTCCATTTGATGAAACTGGAATGGAGAGGAAATCCATCAGGGTTCTTCTTCACCAAGTCCTCTTGGAACAAGGATAAGAGAGGGAAGGAGAATTTGTCTAATAAGAGTATTAAAAGCAGTTTTTCACCAGCGAACACTCTATGGCTCTTAATTCTTGAGAAATGAGTTTAAGCCCTGCCTCCCCCAGCCCAGCCTTGGTTGTGAACGCAGCTGGCCAGACCCAGCCCCTCAGCCTGCCCCGCTGGCACTGCAGCTGCCCAGGAAGAGACTGGGAGCAGCTCTCAAGCTGCTGGTTTGCTCTCAGACATCCAGAGCAGGACAATTAACCTGCAATACTTGCTCAGACAGTGCCTCCCTGTGTGTGTGCTCCACAGCTACACACCCAAAGCGAAACCTGAGCCCGGGATCTGCACTTACCTGGGCAAACATTTGTTTCGTGCTCTAACAGCAAGGTGAGCGTGCTATTCCCCTGTGTAAACATCGACTCCTCAGACATAAGCACTTCTGAGCTGTGCTGCACTCCTCTCTTGAAACAGCCGCTTTCCACGTGAAATCTGCTGCATTCTCCTGTGTCAACAGAGCCAGTGCTCGAGGCTGTCCTGGGCTGCTCTGAAATGCCTCTTGTCTTGGCTGGGAGCAGTCCGAGGGTGTTTGTTTATCCATTTTTAGATGCACTCTGTTCCTTCTGCCATCTCAGTAGATGGGTCTGCGAGGCAGGAGCAGGAAGAAAGGATGATCAGCAGCACAGACACAGGAGGAAAATGGCTAAAACACACTGGGTTTATCCTCCCAGGTTAACGTGGCACCGGTCTTGAAAGGGAAAGGCAAAGGGATTAAAGTAGTTTCCTCTCTCTGGTCTTAGCACTGGTGCTCCCTGGGAGATGGTGACCAAAGCAGGAACATGTGGGAGGACCCAAAAGGAGCCAAAAGTGAGTCCTGGAATAGGAGGAATGAGGCTGGAGGGAAGGTGCCAGCAGAGCTCCCTGCAGGGCAGGTTTGTGACCCATCCCGGTGTCTCATTTGTGACCTGGTGGCTTTGGAGCTGCTCTGGGGCCAGGAGGAGCAGGTGGAGCTGCACAGCCCAGCAGCCAGCCTGGGACAGCTTGGAGCCCTCTGGGAGGGGAATGGGGAGCACAACGTGCAGGGCTCAGGAGCTGGGGGTTAGGAGCAGCTGTTTCCACTGCCCAGCAAGGTCTCGTCCATGGGACTGGCCAAGGAGGAAAATTATCTACATCAATGAGTCCAGGAAAGCTTTGATAAATTCTGAGTGTGACAGAGCACCTGAGGAGGAAAAAAATGTCTATGGGGTCTAAATGTCTTCTCAGACACTCAGGAAACCCCCTCAGCCTCAACAGATGGTGGCACCACACAAGCCTCCAGCTGCTGCTGTTTTCACTGGAAAACATTTTTGTCATGACTTCTCCCCCTGGTTTTAGGCTCCTGTCAGGACATGTTTGGTGATGTGTGGGTGAGTTATCACCATCCAGCCCACTCTGGATGCCCATGTGGATTGCTCAGCTATTCTGAGCTGCCTGCAGTGGTCTGGGACACGACTGATGGTCCTGTGTCTCTGGTGTCTCTGCTCTTCATGTTTCTGTTGAGATGTAAATGCACAGAATACTGAAGTGAGCCCACATCAAAGGACTGGGCTGGAAGGAGAAATCTCCTGTACCTCCTGTAGCACCCCATGCCACAGGATGGGCACTGTCTTCTCTCTATAGGTAGGAAAGCCAAGAAAAGTAAAATTATTTGCCCAGGATCACTCATCAGAAGGCTCTGCACATTCAGGAGGGTTCAAAAGGAGCAGAGAAGGGCACCTGAATGAGCTGGTGAGTGGAGGACACATGGTATAAAAGCATTGTAGAAGAACAGAGCTTGCTCAGCCTTGATAAAGCAAACTGGCAGTGATGTGATTTTTTTTTTTTTTTTTTTTTTTTTTTTTTGTCTATAAATACACCTGGAGGCCAAACACCAGGGAGGAGGGGGGAAGCTATTTAAGATGAAGGACGATAGTGGTACATGAAAACATCCATATTTATGACTGAGGAAGTGAAAGAGCAAGTTATGGGGAGAGAGAAGGGAGAAATGAATGACCTGAAGGGTAGGCAGAGGAGCTCCAGGCAGGGGCCGAGCAGGAGCTGCCTCTCCCAGGGGAGGATTCCTGAAGGATCTGCCTTGCGGAGCTCAGGGTGCTCACCCTTCCTGCAGGACTGGACAAGCTTTGGCACCAAGTGGCAGAAGGGAGGGGAAGCAGGAGCAGGGTTATGGAGGAGAGGAAGAGATGTTCAGTCCCAGCCTGAGCAGGGTGTTCAGGGAGCAGGGGGGAAGAAGCTGCCTGCCAAACTGCCCCTCAGCATCAGCAGCAGGAAAACAGGTGCCTGGGCCCACAGGAGAAGCTGATGCTTCATCCTCTCATCCCCCAGGGCTTTCCACACACACTTGGCAGGTGCTGGGAAGAGTCTTTAGGTCCCTGGGCCAGCAAGGAGTACAGATCCCCCCAAAATGTCACCAGCACAGCAGCCCCAGCACCCCCCTGTGCTCTGCTGTCCTCCTGGCTCAGAAGCAGAGCCAGACATTGCTTTCTCACCCCCGCTTCTAGCAGCAAGCTGGGATTTCCATAACCATTAAAAACAAGCCTTTGTTATTAGCCCTGTGAATTATTTATCCTGTCATAATTAATGCAGGAGCGTTAAGGGCCGTGGCAGAGCTCCCCAGCTCGCCTGTCAGCAAACACCACTCCAGCCCTGCTCACCACTCGGGCATTAAATATGCATTGGGGCTGATAAATGGCTCCAGCACGCTGATCACTGCCAGGCTGTCAAACAAAGTGCCCTGGGCATGGACCCTTCCCTGGGGAAGGGCTGTGCTGTGATGAACTGGAGATGGCAGGGGAGGGGGGCAGCTCCCAGGGGGCACAGGACTCATCCCCCCCTCGCAGCTCTTCCCATCCCCTGCTCTTACCACCGAGCAGAGACACCTTCCTGGGGGTGGTATCTGAGCCATCCTCAGATAAATCACCCCCCTCAGGCTCTGCATTCATGTCTGGCCCGCTCTGTTTTCGTGTCAGGTTTGGGGAGGATGAACCCCTCCGAGTCCTCCTTGCTGTTCAGAGATGCCAGCTGGGCTGCAGGGCTCCAGGGACCCTGACCCCAGAGGGAGATGCCCACTCTGCCTGAGCCTCCCAGGCCAGGAAGGGAAGGTGTGGACTCCTCTACCATGAGTGGCTTCACAGGTTTTCATCAAATGCCTGCAAAGAAGGAGGGAGGTGGGGAGTAGCTTGCCTAATTAATAAAACAAGAAGAAATCAACAGCTGCTATGAAGCTGCTGAACTCTTTTGCTCATTGCTCAGACCAGTGTTTTTTAAGAGGTAAAGCAATTCCAGAGTTCAAGACTTTCTCAAAGTCAGCAGGCTCTGGGGCAGAGAGCTGTGCTGGGAACCTGGGGAGCAGGATCCCATGAGGACAGGACACCACAGGGACTCTATAACAAACTCACTGACCGTCAGCTTGGTGAAAAACAAACCAAATGCAGGCCTAGTGCAACAAGTCCATCTGCCAGGGATCAACACCTGGATGCTGTTACTCCTCACCCCACCAAAATCCGCTCCCATTAACTTCCCTGTGTCACGCTGGCTCCTCCAGGACACTCTGCACCTCAGCACCCCAATGCTGCTTGGTTTACACCTTTTTCCTTTTCCAGAATCCACTCCTTATAGATGACAGGGTCCAGAGAAAAGCTGGTCTCAATAACAGCTAAGTTGATTTAAATCAAATATACGAGTACAGAGCACACAGATTTGAACAAGAGTCTGTAAGAGCAGCAGTTTTGCAGGCTGGCTCCATGAAATTGCTCCAAGCAGCCTTTCCCTGGCTACAGTGGTGCCTGAGAAAGGATTATTCCAAAACATGACATGAACTGACTCTACCATGGAGGTCTGAACCCACTGGCAGGAGTGGAGCTGCTCCCATCCCACCACTCAGGGGGTTTAAAACAAGGAGGGGCAAAAAGAAGCATTACAACTTAATGTGAGGGCTAATCCTGGCCCAGCAGTGAAGTGCACTTAAAATGACCCTTCTCTCACTTGATGTTTCTCTTACTCGAGGATCTTTCTGGCTCCAACATCTATTTCTCTGTCAACAGCCCTCAGTGCATCTCTCTTGCTATCTTTAGGCTCAGATTATTGATCCCTCGTTCCTATCTATCCATCTCATTCCTTTGTGCCTATTCCTGCCTGTCACTCGATTTACTGCAGGACACCTGTCCTGGTTTACAATGTGCAGCCATTTCAGCCCCTTTTATCCACATTTCCCCTTCCCTAGTGAGGAGGAACACGAGGCAGGGAACTGCTGGGCAGCCTGCAGTGCCCACCCAGCTGGGACATGAGCAGCCTGGCACACAGAGCTGCTTTCTGTCCAGAAGCAACCCCCCTTGGCAGGGCTGGAACATCCCCTCCACCACTCCTGGGAGGGAGTTAAATATAAACCAGGCACCGGAGCTGTGGTGTCAGACCTTCCACCCTGCAGCTCCTGCTGTGACACACCTTATCTGAGGAGATTAGTCAGGTCTCTGTCCTGAAGCTGCCTCTGAATCCCAAACACCAGCCATACCCTTGGAGATAAGGGCATCCGTGTCAGCGGCCTCAGTGCTCCGCACTGGCTGCCGGATCACAGCAGAGCAGGGAACAAGGAAAGGCAGATGAATGGAGGGGGCAAAAAAAGACTGAGAAAAGGGGCAGGATGAAGGTGTGCCCTCGAAGCTGCTCTGGTTTTGTTTTCACCTTTCATGTCTCGAAAGGTGAACTGGGGAAAAGAGAGGCCAAGAACAAAGCCCCATCACTTACCCTGGCTGGTTAACTCATTATCCTTAATGTGTGCCATGCTGTGGCAAGCACAACAAGGTGAAGGAGAAGGATTTTCTGTCTCAGAGCAGGGAAATAAAGCCCCTCCCTACTCAGCAGACAGCCACTTTTCAGAGTTTAAGGTAATGGATGCCCAGACTGCCCAGACACCCCTCCCCAGGGCTTGGCAGGGCTGAGACCCTCACAAAGGGAAACCCAGCTTTCCTAAGGATGGTTTGTAGCTATAAAGCACCCTGCCCTCCAGGCAGAGCTAAGCAGGGACACACACAGAGTGTGGAACCACCTGGAAAAGTGGCTGAGAGACCAGTCTGAATGAGACTGAGGCCTCAGAAAACCTCAGGGAATCCCCAGATCCTGAACTCACCAAGAGTAGAACATGGAGCAGCGGTAAAGGCTGAGGGGGGAACATGCAGCTCCATGGAAATACAGCCAAGGGAACTGCCAAACCTGACACCCCTGAGTGGGAACAGATACACCTCAGGGCAATCATTGCCAGAAAAGCTTAGGGGTTTGCACTGGAGCCTGACCTGTAGGATATGATCCATGCACAGCACTGCTGTGTCCTGAGTCACAAAAGCCTCGTGCAGTAGAAATCTCAGGGCTGAACCTCATGGCCTAAAGCAGCTGAGGGGCAGAAAAGCTGCTCTCTCTCCATTTCTCTGCCTGAACCTCCACATTGCCCCTGCTTGGGCAAGAAACATGCAAAGACACTGATGCAAAAAGCACTTTTTGTCCTTCTGACAAAGCCACAAAAGAGAGAGATGAGGAAACAGCCATTCATGGCAGACAGAGACTGAAGAAGATTCATGCCCCCAGTAAAAGTGTCTCCACACTGCAGTCCCAGCAATTCAAACAGAAATTGTTTTTACAGAAAAAGGACAATAACAGGGAGGCTGCAAGGGCACATCCTTATTTAAGAAGTCCTGTTGGGTTCTTGGGAAGAAAAGGAAAAAGGGATGTGATGCTCAGGCTCTGGGTATTCCAGTGTAAAACCACAGCCCAGAACTTCAAGTTGAAATTACTCCCATGCTCTTTGCCAGCTGCTGGCATTTGAAGGTGCACGCTGCACTTCCCAAGCAGGAGTTTCCCCACAGTCCTGCTTGGTGCTCTCTGGCTGGCTCCCAGGCACAAAAACTGGGGCCAGGATGGGTGAGGGTGCCTGTGCTCAGTCCCTGTCCTGCAGGGATGCTCCAGCCAGGCTTCAGCAGCCTGCACAGCAGTGGGCACTCACCAGCCCCCTCTTTTCATGTCTCCTTGTCCCACCCCCAGCAGCAGCACAGGTGAGGGGAGCCAGATCCTGCCTGACTCTGTGCAGATTCTCTTCCCTCCCCATCAGCCAGCACACAGCTCATTTTCCCATTTCCTTTTCCCATTCTGAGCCTGTTGGCACCTCCAGTGTCAGCATGTGCTGCAGTGGAAGAAATCCACAGCCCCAGGACACAAGTCTCACTTTGCCAGACACATCTCACCTTCAGTGAGCTGGTCCCAGCAGCTCTTCCCTCTCCTGCTGCCCGAGCTCAGGCTGTGTTAAATGTTGTCATAAGTCACATCCAGCTTTCCTGCACAAGTGCAGCTCCCACAGGGTGGGGAAATCCTTCCAAGATTTGCCAAAAGTGCCTTGTCTGACCCAACTGCTGCAGCAGCCGGGACCCCTTCCCCTTCCCCTTCCCCTAGGGGAAGGGGCTACTCAGCCTTAATTAGCCTCATCACATATTCTTCTGGTAATTCCTCTGATCTACAGAGAACGTTAGCAGCATCAATACAACTCATCTGCTGCACAGCAAAGTCATGAGCTGCCATGGCAGAGAGCAGTGCAGAACATCCTGTGCTGCAGCCAGAGGATGAGTCCAGTGGGTCAGTGCACAGAACTCCATCAGCAGCTGGGGGTCACTGGAGCACTCCCCAGTCCAGGCCAGAGCTGGGTTTGAAGGTGGCAGCTGAAAAGTGTCCTGGGCTCTGGAGACAACATGAGCTGTGCTGGTGAGCAGGTGGGAAACACCTCAGCCTGAGGTCTGCCAGCAGCAGAGCCTCACCATCCTCCTGGTCCAGGACTGAGGCTGGAGAAGGAAGAGGAATAACAGCCTCCATGCAAACAGGTCTGTCAGCCTGAGCTCCCCCAGGCAGCACAAGCTCTCTGTGCCTGACAGAAAGCAATCAAGCCAAGGCCAGCTTACAGGGAACCTTTGCCATTGCTGTGCAGGAGAAAGATTTCCATAAACTGCTGGTTTGGTTGTTTTTTTCATGAGACATTTTGTCTCAATTTGTCTTTCCCTAAAGGTCATTCTCACAGACAGCAGCCCACTGGCGCCCATCACTCAGAGGCTCTGACAAGCCAGAGGATCTGTCAGACCACATTTTGCCTCCCAGCTACATTCAAGGTTTTACATTCAACATTTTTAATTCCCCTAATGGAGTTTTCCCTTCAAGGCTAGAGCACTATCAGACACCAGAGAGCACCAGCAAGGCAGAACTTGGCACAGGAGAAGTCTTACAAACCATGTTACAGCCAGGGAAACGCAGGTGGCCGCAGCAGGAGAGCTCAAAGCAAACATTGGGTAAGAGGGTACAGAACAGCCCCAAATTTATGGGCAGCCGGATAAAGGTGAGGTACACAGGGATCACAGAAGCTTGAAGAGGAGTCAGACTCCCTGTGTCCCAGGTGAGCAGGCAGGGGAGAGCATCAGGAGATGGCAAAGCCTTGTCTGGAGCAGGACATGGCTCTGTGTCACCTACTGGCTGCAGAGCTGGCAGGAGACCCTGGTCACGGAGGTCCTGGTCCTCCTCCAGCCCCGAGAATGGTGAAGAAACTCCACAAGGAACTTGTTCTGCTCCTGCCAGTCCTTCTGGACGGCAGCACCCAAGCAGGGACTGCAGCACCCAAGCAGGGACTGCAGCTGGATGACCAAAAACCATGCACATGGCAGCATCAGCTCCAAGAAGAATTGCATCAGCACACAGCGTTAAGTGTAATAATTTACACTTCCTTTTCTGAGGTGCTGGAAGGCAGGCATGAGCCCTGCCTGGGCTCCCAGAAACCCAGATTTATTTCACTGAGGGTGTGAAGAGTGGCTCTGGGATACCTCAGGGCGGTGACCTGGACCTGGGCACCAGAGACAAGGTAAGAGGGACAATGGGCTCACTGTGGAGTTCACTATCATATAATTGCTCAAAATCATGGTATAAATAAATGATTTAAAAGCTGAGGAAGGGTGAACCCCCTAAAGCCCCAGAATAAGCTGCAGAGGCAGCATTACAATCCTGAGTCTTGAAGATATGGGCAGAGATCCCCACATCTCAGGGACGGCAATGCAAACTTGTGAGCTGAACAGAATTCCCCTCAGGGGTAACAGGAGCTGTCCCATGGGTGTGCAAGGGAACAGAGTCAGTCAAGTCAGATGCCACATGAACTTGCAGACCAGTGAAGAGTGAGATGAGCAAAAAGCCTGTTGAAAAATACATAAAACCTGTCCCAAGTGGATTCCAAGAGGAAGAAGAAACCCCCATGGTGAATGGCACAGTGCTCCTGGCAAAAGGCTGAGAAGGGTGATGGCTTCTTGTCCCTTCTGGAGACAAAGGTACCTGGGGGAGCCCAGGGGCACAGGGGAAATCCTGGCTCTGGCTCACACAGCAGCTCCAACTGCAGCCCTGCTGATGGCATTTGTTAGTTATTGATTGCACAATCAATGGGCTGTCAGTGCTAGTAGCATTTTAACTGGACTAATAATAACAACAGCTGTTCATTGCATTTTTGGTTAGATTGTTAAAACTTTTAATTGGACAAACGATAAATTCTGGATTTGGCATAAGAGGGTGTATTTTGGTAGGTAACACCCCCCAGCTGAGCTAACACATCTCTGTCCTTCACCACCTCCTGGAGGGGGAATGAGTTCAGGGTATCTGATTGCAAGGAAAAGCTCAGCCCCACCCCAACCTGATGCACAGGTCCATCCCTGTCTGCTTCACCTCCTGCAGCCTTCCCCAGGCTGCTCCTGGGGACAGATGTGACAGGTACCATCCTGGGGGCTGGCACAAGCCTGACAGTCCCCCAAATTCTGCCCCAGCGTGAGGCTGCTCAGCCCTGGCAAAGCCCCTCTGTGTACCCAGGACAGCTTCACCTTTTCAGTCCAGAGGGTTTTCCCACCATGAGGATACAGAGGAGATTGGCCAGCCAGCACAGAGCTGGTTAGCCCCAGATCCCTCATCTCAAGTAGAGACTTCATCCAGCTTTCCCCAGCAGCCCAAACAAGCCAGGCATTTCTCCATCTCCTCTGGTGCCCTCCTTTGCAACTCCTCTGACCCCCTGGCCCAGTGATTGGCAGCATCTCAGGGCTTCCAGGGGCAAGAAACAGTCTGTGCTCATAGCCCACCCAGGGTAACAGTTCACCACAGCATTCTCACTTTTAATTTGCTTATCCAAGCAATAAAGCAGAGATGAGGAATGGCAGCTAATTAAAAGTATCGATTCATGTGGCACTCAAAAACTCCCCGGACCAAGTCAGGGCAGGGAGGGAGGGATGAAGAGCCTGGAAGAGAACAGAGGACAGCAAGACTGCAGTGCTGCAGGCAAGTGCATCCTTGCTCCCTGTGATTTCCTGCACAGGGAAGATTCCTCAGCTCTAACAACCTTCTTCTACGAGTCACCATCCCTAAAACACTGTGTCTTTTCTTTAGCAGAGAAATCTCCAAGATTCCCATTCCCTCAGCTCCATGTGAATCCTCCCTTGACATGCCCCATGTATTTTTAAGGCTGGCTGACAGCAGGCAGACAGCCCCCCAGAAATGGCGGGGGAACACAGTCAGGATGTATTTCTTTAGTGAGGCTCTCAAAGGTCACTGCTTGCAGAACCCTCTGACCTTCACATCAGCGCACCAACACACAGGAGATGTTTGTCTTTGTGACTCAGGTACGTGCAGGACTCACAGGGTGCCTGGGGCCAGAAAATCCAGACAACTTCCAGCTCACCTGCTCTGCCCACCATGGAACAAGATGGTTTTTGAAACCAAAGTTGGTGCCTGTCACTCCCGTGGGAATGGGAAAGATGGGGGCCATCACCAGGGTCTCAGGTGTCTGCTGTGGCCAGGTGTCTCTTGGCAGAAAATTGATGAGAATGGATTCAAACTGAGAGTAGGTATAGATTAGCTATTAGCAAGAATTTTTTTTCTGTAAGGGTGGTGAGGGACTGGCACCAGAGAATCTGTGGCTGCCCCATCCCTGGAAGTGCTCAAGTCTAGGCTGGATGGAGCTCTGGGCAACCTGGTCTAAGGGTCCCTGTCTCCAGCAGCAGAGTTGAAACCAAATAATCTTTAAGGTTAATCCCGGCCATTCTACAGCTCTATGAAGATGCTCATGACCCAACAGGAGCTGGGGTTGCCTAAGCCTGGCTAGCGTGGGTCTGTCTGGAGGGGAAGGTGGCTGCCGAATCCTCACTTCCCACAGGGGAAAAGCTTTGCATCTCAAGAGACGAGCCAAGTGAGGAGCATCCAGACAGTGCTGTGCCAGAGACAGAGCTGGGAGCAGACTCAGAAGCATCCACAGCCGCTCATGAGGTAAAAAACTGTCACTCTCTTCTTGCTCTTCATTACCCATTCCATCATCTCTCCATCCCTCTGTGTCGCACAGCTACTGACAGCTGTCCTCATGGGATCATAGAAGAGACAGAAATTGACTGAAAGCTTGCTCCCTGTCCTTCTGACCTCACACAGCAAGCAGATGCCACCATGGCCTGGAGTACCAAGCAAGCAGAGTTCTCAACTGCATCATCCCCATCCAAGGACTTAGAAGCAAACAAGAACCTGCAGGAAAGGACTTGTGCTCTGAATATGCTCCAAAAGCTTCTCAGAGAAGTGACAAAGTACCTTCTCATTTTTAAAACTGCCCTGGCAGCCTCCTCAGTGAGGTTTGCACCCACATCATGGGCATAGACCCTGGGGGTTCTCCATCCTCTGCCTGTGGTGTTTTCAGTGCTTCCTCTGAGCTCTGTGGGCACTGCAGGCACAGCTCAGGCTCCTTGTGCTCTGCTTCCTCTCCCATACTCCCCAGCGAGCAGCCAAGCCCTTGCAGACCATCCTGCCTCTCCCAGCACTCAGGCAGCTCTTCCCAGAGCACAGCCAGACACAGTGTGGTCACTTCACAGCATCCCTGCCCCCATCCCACACCACAGCTGGGGATCACAGCGCTGGAGGAGATCAAAGATCCTACTACGACTGCAGGTAATCCATCCAGGCAAGCAGGCAGGAGGGATTCACTCTCTGTGACAGACTTTAGCTGGCTCCAAAAAGGATAAACCTAAATCCTCTCCTGTATTTCCCCTCCACTCTCCAGTCCAGAAGATGTAATATGACATGTGGCCAAGACCAAATGGCAACGTTTAGGAGCATGCAGGGCTGGGCTGAGGAGAGCACCAGGGAGAGCCCCACCATGGGACAAGGAAGCCTTCACCCTCAGAAACCCCAGACTTGTGGGTCAGGGGGAGAAGGGCTGTTGGGAAGGCATCCCAGGATCTTCCATTCCATCCCTCCAAGGGAGGTGGTTGAGATGGCTTCACCTCCTGCTCAGCCATCACCCTGAGCTGCTGTCATGGCAACACACGCTTGGATTCAGGAAGGAACAGGTACTTCTGCTTGTTTACCCAAGAAAAGAGGCAGCATCATGGTATTTTGAACAGGAGAGAAGGAGGGGAGCGAGCCAGCAGCCAGCACAGGAGCTCAGGCAGGCTGGCCTGGACCTGCATGGTGTGCAGCCTCCTGCCACCCACAAGGGGCTGCAGCCTTCATCCACTTTGGCTGTGCCGCTCTTTGGCTGGGAGATGTGCTCGTGGGGATGGTGGCAGTCCCCACACCACACCGGGACCCCAAATGAGGATGGGGTGACAGAGGGCTTTGGCTGCACAGGACAGGACTGGGACATGCTAGGCACTGGACACATGAACTGTGCCTTCCAAAGAGAGGACCACACCTCAGAGAGCTCCCCTGACACTCACCTGGGGCTGCAAAGGAAGCCCAGATTGCCCAGCACCAGCAGTGCTCTGGCAGGGCTCATGCCTTCCCCAGCCATTTCCCAAGAGCAGCCCCAGGGCACGGCACATCCAGCATCAGCCGTGGACCACAAGAACAAGCAGGGTGCAGAGCCTTTCCTCTGGAACCTCACTCCTACCTGCAGGAGAAGCAGATTGTGTCCCTGACTTGATTGATTTCAGAGCTCCTGAATGCAAAGGAGCCTGAGCAAGATATTTCCCCCTCCGGGAAACAGCTGCATGGGAGGCTGGTGACCTTCTACACCACCTCCACATGCCAGCCCCTTGAGAACGGGTGGAATCTCATTTGCAGCAGCCCTCTGCATTCAGTGCCTCACTCCTGGGATAGCAGCACCAGCAGCAGCCCTGGTTCCCCTGGGTGCAGAGGAGGCAGGAGCTGAAGGAAGAAAAGCTGTCTAGGGAGCTCTAAAAGAGGCCCATGCTGGAGGGTTTGGAGATGCCTCCAAACTTTCCTGATTTTCAAGATATTTGTGTCCAGCCAGGCCGTAGGAGAGTCACTGTGTGGTCAGGACGACAGAGCAAGACTGGACCTTGCCCCTGAGCTCCACACCATTCCCCTGGCACACAGATCTCACCAGGCTGAGCCTGCTGTGCTTCAGGCTTCGTGCCAGACCCTGGGCTCAGGGCCAGACCCTCTCTGCAGTCCCTAAATCCACTGGTCCAAACTCACACGAACCTTGTTTGCAGCTTGCTGACCTGACTTAGCTCTGGAGAGTGGGCAAAGCCAGATGGTCTCCTGTGTTGCAGCCTTACTGTCCACAGCCTAAGCAGAGGTTATCTGGGTTATCTGGGGGCTCGCTCACCACCAAAATCTCCTCCTCATGAACACCTGAAGAAAAACAAAAAGCAGGCAGCTGGGAGGCAGCAGTTATCACCACTGTGTCCTGGCAGGCTCTCTCCATTTTCCCCAGCTGTGAAATGGGTATTTGCACTTCCCAGAGGTGGATGAGAGCTTTTTCTGGGTATCATCCAGTGACGATCATTTCATTCCTGGAAGCAATACTCACAGGGGAGGGAAACCCAGTGTGGCACAGTGCAGTTATGGCTGATTCACCTGAGCATCCCAGGCCTTTTCCTGCAGCTCTGTTACAGGCAGGCCAGGTCTGAAGATGCATCCTTTGATAGCAGAAAACATCTGCTGCAGATCCCTGCTCTGATGGGTGGCTGCCTGGTGAATTACACATTTTCCTGTGGCACAACCTCTCCCAAAGTCAAAATATTTGCTCCACATTTCATGTCTCCCATCCACAATGCACAGATGAGAAAGACCCCTGTAGAACAGAAGCTATCTTTGGAGAGAGCTAAAAGAAGGAAATTATTAATAATGTATGGACAAGGCAGCTCAATGCATTGTGGTACCACATCTCTGCAGGGCGCTGAGCAGACCCTTACACTGGGGTTTTCCTCCTGGATGCCTCTGCTCCCCATTTCCAGGGGAGCCTTAGGGAAAGCACCTGTAAAATGGGCAGCAGCCAAAGCTGGATCTGCTGAGCCCCATGTCCGCTCTGCCGGGAATTCAGGCAGCCTGCAAGTGCAGCTGTGCCATTGTGTTCTTCCCTCCAACATCTGCCTGTCCTGCTCACTGGAAAAAAAATCATGGAGCTGCTGCTAATTTCATTAGCAGGCCCGTCAAGCGGTTCATCAATCCATGATTTCCTGGCTGGCCGCCTTGAGGAAGCAAGCGGGATCTGCTCTGAATTCACAAAGCCATCCCCTGGGGTCATTTGTCTGAAGGCTTAAAATTTCCCGAGTGCATTATTATCTCGGATTAAAACTGGAGGAGGGAGGGGGCTTGATTGGTTTTTCTGCCCATCCCCGGGAGCAGGGCAGAGCTCCCAGAGCTGTCCCAGAGCTGTCCCAGAGCTGTCCCAGAGCTGTCCCAGAGCTGTCCCAGAGCTGTCCCAGAGCTGTCCTGTGCCGGGCCGGGGCAGCGATGGAGCAGAGCCCGCGGAGCCGGAGCAGCTGCGGGGCGGAGGAAAAGGCATCGAGAGACTCTCGGGGTGGCCTTGGCAAAGGCTCGGCTTTCCGCGCCGGTGGGCTGGGAGCCCGCACCCAGGGTCCCGAATGAGGGTCCCGCACCCAGGGTCCCCAGTGAGGGTCCCGCACCCAGGGTCCCCAATGAGGGTCCGGCACCCAGGGTCCCCAGTGAGGGTTCCGCACCCAGGGTCCCGCAATGAGGGTCCCTCAATGAGGGTCCCGCAATGAGGGTCCCACACCCAGGGTCCCCAATGAGGGTCCGGCACCCAGGGTCCCGCAATGAGGGTCCCGCACCCAGGGTCCCGCAATGAGGGTCCCGCACCCAGGGTCCCCAGTGAGGGTCCCGCACCCAGGGTCCCCAGTGAGGGTCCCGCACCCAGGGTCCCCA